TTTCCTTTACACCTTGGGCGCCATGCTTAACTCTGCTACAGAAATAGCTAATTCTGGCGCCACATTTGACCACAGACATACTCATGATCTGTAATGGACATTGATACAGCATTATGAAGTATACCTTCGTCGTCACTAGTGAAACTCAATTCTGGGAATAGTGGTATTATATACTCATCGTTTGATGTACCGGATGCGTGTATGTTTTCGGACACATTAGTTACGTCAATGACTAAAGCAATGTACTCATAACAATCAAAATAATCATCTGCCTTTAATGTGCACATGAGAACAGGAAAATAAAATAAAAACAATTAACGGAACCCTTAAAGAACGCCTAAAACAACAACATCGAAAATGTTGCAGGCTATGTATGATATAGCCTGTTTATGGACGGTAATGGCAAGTGAAAGTTACTGCCCAATTGCGCGGGCTTAAGCTTAAACACGAAAATAATCTGAAGTCGGTACAATAATCAAATTCTTTTTAGAGATGGGACCAGGTGAAGTTTGCGCCCCTGAACTCTTGGTAAGCTACCATTGTCAGGACAGCATTTAGCTGATAGGTCAGTGGATACTGTGTCCGTATCTGCACTTGATCTCAGAAGAAGGGACTTATCAATAGCACTGGGATGAAAGGGATTAATGCCACATTTACAAAAGTCCCCTATGATACATGACAGTGTGAAACTATTCTCAAATATAAGTTTGAACATGGCACTGACTTAGCGACCCATAACACCTATTTAATCACAAGGGAGACACCAATAGCTTAAAAATAAAATAAAAAGCTTTAAGATATAAAGACAAAAAGTTGTTGTTTGGGAAGATAAATATGTCTAGCTAAATCATGCAAAATATTTACAATAAGTCCAATTTAATCATTTTTGCAGTATATGAGTTTAGAGGTTTCAATTGTCATCTTGCGCAATACTGCTACGTCCAATGGCTTAGTGATGTAGGTAAAATTGAACGGAGGAACGGAGGAAAAGCAAAACGACTTCGTTTGCAATGGCTGAACAATTGTAGGAGCCTGTTTTGTTTACTGGATCGTTGAGAAAACATATAGATCCATTTGGTCGTTTTCAAAATGAAGAGATTTGGATTGCCTTGCACGAGGTCTGTTTTGTCTATAGTAGCATTATTTAAATCTACAAGATATATTTGTATATGTTTATCTTTGAACTTTTAAAAAATATTAAGCTGTATCTTCTAGCAAAAGGGCTTCGTTTTCTTTTTCTTTTAACCCAGCTCTTAGTAAATACATCGTACAAGGCACTCTATATATTTTTCTAGTGATTCCAATGCGTTTAGTATTGTTAAAACAAGGCCTAGGAGGTGAGAGATTTTTCACTTTCAATTATCATCATTTTTTTTTTTGTTTTATTGCTCTTTAGGGATACATTGTATTTCCTTTTCCTATACTTTGTAAAACAACGTTAACATAAACAATAAAATATGATATAAGCGAAACTTTGTTTTGCAATCTCTTACTTAATGATATATTATGCTCAAATTTGCTATTTGATAATATTGATAATTGCTACCCTGTCTCTTTGTAGGTATAAAAACCAACTTGTTTTGACCTCACAAAAAATAGAGATATTTTCGTTTTAAAATGGGGAAACAAAGTGATCCCTCGGAACCATTAAGCACAACAAAATTACATAAGAATTGCAGACTCGGTTTGATTGAGTTTGTACTTGAGGGATAACGAATAAGTGCACCGTCTTTCACGCCCTCTAGCACCGGCCTGAGCGTACTCAATTCTCAACACTTAATAGTGCTGGCATCAATGATCCCGAAGGACCAGAAAAATATAACAACACTGAAGTGAAGTAAGGGGCAACTTTTTACAGCTGCCACACGGCACTTGACACCTGTTGTTGTGAAGTATAAAAATCTGGAAACAAAGTTATCCCTCGGAAGCATTAATCACAACACAATTACATAAGAATTGCAGACTCGGTTTGATACAGTCTGTGCATGAGGGAAAATGAATAAGTGCAACATCCCTCACGCCGCCTTCACGATATGAATATACCGTGTCAATAAAAAAAACCCGGCTGTCTGTTTTAAGACTTCACCTGTAATAGGGAATCCGTTTTTACATTGTTTTATTCTAATTAGACATATTCAGTAAGAATTTGATAGATTTAAATAAATTTCTGCGATATAATTATTTATGAGAAGATGAGTATAGTATATCGCATTCGCTGACCAGTACCAAACTTTGTTTTGAAATCTATTTCTTATACAGTTGTCAGTAACAATCAGTTTCGGTAATATCATAGCAATCAATACACACTGAATATTTCTGTTCAAGAAATGCAAGAACTCAGATTAATTAATTTTAAATGACGCGTTAATTTGTCATACTGATATGATTTTGGTTTTGTTGTTGTTGTTGTTTTCCAGGTCCAGCTGAAAGGATATGTTGAAAACTTACCTTGTGGCTTGGATTCAGAAGTTACGGAAGTTGGTAGTAATTTTAGTGCTGGCCAACGTCAACTAGTTTGTCTAGCCAGAGTTCTTTGCAGAAGATGAAAATTGTCAATATTGATGAAGCAAAAGCAAATGTCGATAGCCTTTACTTTTCACTATCTTACAATTTTGACTTTTTAACTTAGCAATTGAAATAAGAAATTAAAATAATAATAACAAATAAATGAAACGCGCGATTATATTTTTACATAATTACACATGTTTGTCAGTCGTACATTGATTAACATGTAATGATTTCTGTATTTTTGTAGGAACTGAAATGTATATGTATTCTTAAAAACTGGTGGAAAAAAAGAAAGAAATATATATGTTAGAAAAGGTAGTTGATCAGGTTGTGTGGCAGGACTTCACACATTCTTCAGATAGGAGAGTAACATGGGCCACAAGTGAAGGTGCTGCCACTTTGCCCTTTTCTTACTCAATATGCATTTATCTCATATTCACCAGCTTTTTATCATTATAATTTACTACTTGTTTTGTTTTTATTGGACTCTTAAAAGTACAGCGTCTCTCTCATTGTGTCAACATACTCGTCAGTATTTATCAGTTTAAGCGTCATTTTCTCCAAAGATTTAAATTTGACTAAAGACATGTATTCTTCTTTTAACTGGTCCAATCCGATCCGATGCTCCGCTCATCCCTTTTCCGTCGGTATCCTTTCTATTGACCTTATTTTTTACGACGCCATTCATGATATTCACTGTATAAACAATGGTGGTATATGTCTGCTCACTGCACACAAATAATCGAGTAAGTTAACGGGAAAAAGAGTAAAAACATTTCATAGATTTATATTATAAATTGGCGGAAAAATATTAACTCGTTTGTCATGACTTGATGAACAACATCGGAAAAACTTTCTTGGATAAGGTAAGCTACCTGGACAGGCATATTGTGGGGTTCACTAAGATCAGCTACCTGATAATGTCAATAGAAAAGGTCACCGACGGAAAAGGGATGAGCGGAGCAACACATGGTAATGAGAAATTGTATTTATGCTAAAGTTCATATATGACGTGGTTAAAATGAAATGTGCTAACAACGATAATGAAGTTTTTATGATTTCGCATAAAGATTTTATAGAACAAATGTATCATGAATCTTTGCTGTATAAAATGGTAGTTTCAAATGGGTATATGAAAGAATATTCAAGGGCAATTAAAAATTAAAAGAATTAAGTATAAACATGAAAAGATGTTTGCAAGAGAAATCTCAAACGTCTGGATGATACAGACGAGCATCTTTATAATCGACCCTCTGAGGTCTCCGGTCTTCGATGGTTAAATATATATATATATGTCTCCAAAAACTTTCTTCTATTGAAACAAACGTTGTTTACTATTTTTCAAATATTTTGAAAACAATTGAATGCAATATATTTAGTTCATAAAAACTGTCCCCACAGGAAACCTTTTTAATTTACTTCTCACCATCTTACAAACAGAAATTCATTTACACATAAACATTTGTTCTGTTTTGAAGCTTAATTGTAAGATACTATGTCTTTGCGCACCTGTTTCTTGTTTAATGTGCCATGGAATAGCAGCAAATAGATTATTTTTAACTTCTTCATGACAAAAATTATTTACATGCAGCATGTTGTTCTTTAAAAATAAACTACTCAAATCAACCGATAGATATTTCCTCATCGTGTTCATAAACTTTAAATTTATATGTTTAAAAAAAACTCAAATCAAATCACAAGTTCAACAAACAAGTATAAGTCATTACTTTTTAAATTATAAACAAATACGAGTGAGAGAATTTTCTATAAGCACCAGCTCTTATTGAAATTAAATAACCTTCAAATTAAAAAAAGTGTTTAAATCTACAATAATATTGAAATTTCGGCAAAGCCGAAATTCAATTGTTTCTATCGCTATTACTAATATGCTACATAATAAGATAGATCGAGAAATGAAGCAACATGAAATTAAATTATCACGTACTGTCAGTGACCTATTATATTGAAAGTTGTGCTTTCATTAACACCTTCTGTAGGCAATATAAGGACTGAAAACTCGTATCGCGTTATAGATGTTCATAGAACTTTGACGCATAAGTGGAAAAATAGATACAAAAGTTCCATAGAGGAATCCAATTGTATCTGTCTGTCAGAAACCTCCTCAAAAATGATCTTTGAAAGTCGTGTTGAAAAGTCTCCAGTACAACAAAGGTATGTTTGAATAGTTTATGCTTTTCGTAATTAAAATAATTCGTTGATACCTATTTTAATACATTTAAAAATAATCTTAAAAAACCTGACATTTATTTATACCTGTATCCGAATAACTATTATGTAAATCGCAACTTTTTTTTGCGAACAAAAAAACACACAGCAAACAATTAGAATATATTCAATATAAATACAGTGTGTCTGCATAAACTGAAATGTGCATGTATTTATAAATTATATCTAACATAAAAAAAAAGATAGATTAACGGCTTGAATACTACCTTTTCTTTTTTGAGATGATCATAATCTTTTGTTCCGTGTCATTTAGCTTTTTTAGCTTAGAAAACTATATAACAGATACAGTAGTCAGATTCATTTGCAATTATAGGGTATCATTGCCATGGGTGTATCAGAGACGTAGATCCTCTACAAATCTTCAAGAAAACAAGGTACAGGTACTAGTGATTGGTTCTGATAGGGTTGGAAAATCTACGATGATTGATCTATTTACACAAAACAAACTTGTCATAGAAGATGAAGCAGATGGAAAAAGAGAATCGCCAGTAGAAATTATCGTAGAGCTAATGGAAGTCAATGCAACAACAGCGGCAGCAATCAGAAAGTTTGCTATACAAACTGCACATGCCTTCGTGCTTGTGTACTCATTAGACAACCAAGAATCTTTACGCTACGTAAGAAAAGTTAGAGATGAAATAGATCAAATCAAGGGCAAAGGGATGCCAATTATTGTCGTTGGAAACAAAGCTGACGCTTGTAAACGAAAATTTGACATTCCTTTCAAACAGAAAGATGAATTCAGCAAGGATGGCGTCTCACACATAAAAGTGTCTTTTAAAAACAAACTTCACACAAATGATATTTACAAGATACTTTTTCAACATGAAACACTTCAGAAATTTACAAATATTGTGTCCAAAATAAACAGAAGCCAGATATTTTCTGATTTACGAAAGCTTTCGTTGAAGGCAGATGCGTTAGAAGAGTCTGTTTCAAGGTGTTTTGCTGGCAGTGTATCAAAATGTAACATTAAAGAAAACATTGAATCTCCTTTTATTTTAAGAAAATTAAAATCTTTTTTTACAGGAAGCAAATAAGTAATGGGTGCTTAATGTAATGTAAATTTGTTCTTAGCAGCAAACGCCCTGGCTGAGTAATTGTCTAATTACTTTAATTGTCGTCGCTTATCGTTAAGTTAGCCATCTCGCAACACTATAAGTGGTTGGTTGTTTCATCCATGCTTTTTGCTGGTGCTCAAGTAACAGGCATGACAAATGTAATTCCTCCTTCTTTGCCAGTTTTAATGTGATTTCAATTTTGGACGCAATTTTATTCGCCAGTCTGTATTTGTTGAAAAATGTTTGATTTGATCAATGAGTTATGCTTATAAAAACGAATCTAATGTTGTTATGCATTTTATAAGCATTATATGATAAATTTGTGTACTTTTGTGCTTTCAAACATTTTCTTTTATTAAGTGTTGTTTTGCTGGGTTCTTTATTGTCATGCATTCACCATATTCGTTATCAAAATATTCAAACAATATAAAATTATTTTTCGTCTAGCTTATCTTGTCTTAATCAATCCATGTTTAATAGCCAACTAACAAAACAGTCCGTCTTTTCTTCCGAGAAACTGTATGTGCGGTTTAAGTACCATATCACATCATAGCAACCTGAAAATAAATTCATTTCGTAACAAGGTTACAATACCTTTGTAATCCCTCTATGAATTAGCTAGAAATTACCCGACGCTGCCCGTCGTGTACCATAGGCGATCCGATTTTTCGTCTGACTTAAAGAATATCTACGCTTCATAACAAGTGTTACCTTTACTTGTGTCACAGGGTGACAAAAATGTGCAGCCTGACCGGGAATCGAACCCGAGACCATCGGAATACCGTTCCGCGATTCTACCGACTGAGCTATCCGGCCGCTTACACATATTCTCACCTAGGTAGTGAACAGTTCTGAACCAGACCTATTTTGTGCGTGACGCATCATTTTAATGTGGAAGTCATTTATTTAAAGTCATTTTAAAACAAATTACAGACTAATGAAGCCCTTAATTAAACCATTTAATGTTTGTCCGGACAGACAGACTGACAGAAAACGGACATAAATGTCAATGGCCACAAAAAGGATTGGCATTAAATATTAGTAGAGAAATTTTGATGCGAAAATGAAATGTGCGTCAGTGTTTCATAAAGACGTAATCTCCAGGATTCAAATGTAATAATATGAGATTTTTTTTACCTAAACAATTTTTCATTAAAATCCAGTATTGACAACAGATTGCCGTAAATTTAAAATGAGTTTTGTAAAACAATTAAGCACCGGGCCTTTTTCGAATGGCTTTCGTTTGTTGTAGCCAGGCACTAATCTCAAACATTGTTCAGATCGAGAACACAAAATGAGCCGCGCCATGACAAAACCAACATAATGGGTTTGCGACCAGCAAGAATCCAGACCAGCCTGCGCACCCGCGCAGTCTGATCAGGATCCATGTTGTTCGCTTACCAACCCCTTTTAAAAGTAGAGACTGATAGCGAACAGCATTGATCCTGATCAGACTATGTGAATGCGCTGGCTGGTCTGGATCCATGCTGGTCGCAAACCCATTATGTTGGTTTTGTCATGGCGCGACTCAAATTATAATTATATGCAGGCATTTTAAATGTGAGATGGGGACAGGGTTGGTTGGTTGGATGGTTTGTATTTACGTTGTACAAACACAGTAGAAGGCATACTCTGCTCCATTGAAAATGTGTTTAATGGACAGTTTTAACCTTCTATCACTTTGAAAATTATCCGTTGGTTGTGAGAGATATATAAGATCATCAGAACTTAAACATTTTTCATTTAACAGTGAAGTTTGTATACATGCAGACTGAACTTGTTATTGATTACTGGGATTGTTTTGAAGTGTCTCAAAGTTGATTGCTAAAACATACAATAGTGGTGGTATACACGAGATAATAATCTTTCCTGTAAAATCATTTCTTCAAACATGTCAAAGCGGAATTTCTTTAATGGTGAATGAAGGTAGCTTCATATCCTAGAAGATAACGATAAAGCTTAGGTATGTGAGAGGAGACAGCACGCTCGACTGAATAAATACTGGACGCAGTAAAGATCAAAGCACAGAAGGCGCTGAATTTGTTTGGGTCTCAGAATGTCAGAAGGCGAAGGTGTGAGATTATAAACCAACTTGTTTTTGTATAGTGCCACCAATGCTTTCCAGCGTTTTAATTGTAGTTAATTGGCTAAAATACTAATTGCAACAGTGATATTCAATCCAATGTTTATTTGACTTATACAATTTGAAAAAAAAAAATTGAGTTGCCTTAACTGGGATTTGAACTTAAAACCTCTCGCTTCTTAAGCAAGCGCGCAAACCCCTCGGCTATGGTGAATTTATCTGTAAACGGCCTGAAGAAAACTATATTATTTTTAATTAATAAGGGTTTATAACGACGCTAACTGTTGTTTAACACAGCTTTAAATAATCATGGAGCTTACTCTTAGCATGTATATCTATAAAGAATAGAACAATATTAGAAATCTTCGACCATTCGGGAATTATTTTGCTTGAAAATTAATGCGTCTGTCATTTGACCATCTTTGCGCAGTGATCTCCCCTGAATTTTCGGCGTAAGTGTAAATATAAAGGGAAGTAACCGCTTCAAAAATGTGGACTACTTTCGGCATTTGCAATTAACAGCATTAGAGTCTGAAATTCCGATACCATTATTTGTTTGGTCTGACGACCCAAACAAATAAAAAAAACTTCAAAAATGAAATTGTCATAGTAAAAAATAACATTTTAAACATAATTACTACGTTGAAGGGGATACTCAATTAGTTCGATTATGTTGGAAGATAAAAGAGTATTAAGAAAACAATGCATGGGGTCAGCAATCCTTAGAGTACTAGTCCACTCGGCCACGCCGCCACTCCAACATAATTATTTTTTTAAGATACCTTAAGAAATAAAAAAGCAATTGTTACAAATTAAAGAATAAGGATAATTCGAATTTGGGGATATATATAATTCTGAAACAAATTTGTGCTAGAATTATAAAACTGGTTACATATGATATGTTAATTGATAAGGAACATATATTTGAAGTTTTAAGTCGATCATCCAGGAAATAAAGAACAAATCTATATACAAAAATAACATTTTATAGAAATTATAACTTGAAGGGAAGATAATTCTGGAAAGATTGCTTCTTGGGTTATGACCCGCTGCCTACATGATAAGGAATATATATTTGAAGTTTGAAATTGATACCTCAAGGGGATAAAGATGTTACAGTAAAAGAATGTATAACAGCACATATACTTTTGTATCAAGTGATTCATTAACCGGACTGTAAATAACTTACTATACTCAAATCCCGTCATGGACTTTAGATTCTTCCACGTGAGAATTATGTGCTGCAAAGAAATATTCTATAAGGTTCCTACAAGTTTCCTGTTAAATTCAGAATATCAATGCAAGTAACACTGGCGCTAGATGATTAGATCAAGCTGGGACAGAATATACGTAATACACATCTGTATGGTGTAACTTCTCAACAATTTTCACCATCTGACAAGTCTTCAAAGGAAGTGCCTAACACATCAAATCAAATACATGTACCTATTAACGAGGGCTATTCGAGAAGTTCGTGGAATTTTAACATAAATTGTTAACGCCATTTACAAATCAATTGAACGTCCCAATCTCTTGGCGTAATCCTCGCGTATGCTGATCTTGTGTGTTTGTACACTCACATGGCGAATGTTTCCATATACCACTAAAATACATACACGTCGAATGTTTGTATGGCTTCACTAGTATCATGTCTGATGAAGTTCTGATAGACTGTCGAATTTCTGCCCTAATTTTGGGACAAATACGAAAACCCATCGGTGCTAGGTCAGATCAGTATGACGGGTGAATCAAAGTACACCTATCTCAAACACAGTTTATGTAGCGAGATGGGCAGGTGCGTTATCTTTGACCAAATACGATATCACAAAGATCAAGAAATAACCAAAACCCATTTTTAACATGAAAACTAAATATTATAGCGGTATAACTACTTCAAATCTATGTAATGAATAAAATAGGATCATAAAGCGATTTAAACGGTTGCCTACAGCATGCAGTGCATGGGTTTCTATGGTTACAGGTAAATTTATTTTAGTTTACTTACCGAACAGCCCTCGTTCATGTATTTGTTTGGTTGAGTTGTTAGGCACGAACGGGCACCCGAGTAAAAACACCGATGTTCAGTAAACTTACTAGATAGCTACATAACATGAAAGAATCCAAAGGTTCTGGTGATTCTGGGATTCGAACCCACAACGGTAAGGGGGAAAGGGGTTTGAACTCAACGACCTTTACCACTCGGTCATGTATATGAAGATTCGTGTAAATTAAAATTAAATCATCATGGAACAGTAAAGTGTTTTTTCTATTTATAAACTGTGTTTAATTTATTATATTTTCCGAAAATACAAAAGAAATGTTATTTCTCAAATTGATAAGTTCACTCATATTTACAATCAAATTAAAACGTTTATCACACCAAGGTCCCCGACTGTTTCAAACATGCGTAGGGAAGTCAAATTAGTTGATGTTTTTCAAGCCAGCCATTTGTTCATAAAACTTGTCATCTTCGTCAAAGCCTCGCGACATTCCTTTTCCTTGTAGTTACCAAGGGGACCTGTTTTATTGGTGAAAGCATGTCCGCAACCTGGGTATAAAATCAACTCAAAGTTGTTGTTTCCTTTCATTTTTTCTTGCAATGCCAAAGCATCCTCCTTTGAAGAAAACCCTTTCAAGACATCATCCTCTCCAAAGTGAGCCTGTACTGGGATAGTTATACTGCCAACATCACACAAATCTGCACTTGGAATTCCGTAGAATGGAGCTGCTGCGGACACCTCTGGTACGAGGGCAGCACTTGCCAGACTTAAAGCTCCCCCCATACAAAATCCTGTCACACCCACCTGAAAATATAAACAGTACAGAAGAGAAAATGTTATAAAGGAAATATAACTATACTTGCTTAGAAGTGCGTTTGTGTTGTTGTTAAAGAAAGCACGGTATGACGTTCTGGTGCATAGGAATAGTAGTCCGTAGGCCTTATACAGCGAAGCCCCATAAAAAGCATAATATACTTTAAGTCTTAAACGTAAGTTATTTGAAAGGGGAAAGAGAAACAGGGTTATGCAGCACGTTAATTATCTAATGAAAATGTTTATAACTGTCTATATACGTTTATAATATTTTGTGACATGCATATTTTCGAAAACGTTGATTCACATTCTGTAACCGTATTATTCTATTTTTGATGTCCCGGTGGATGAATCAAGAGCTTGCACATGCTATCCTGAATAGTGGAAACAAGAACATCGAGTATGTCTTGTCAAATAACGCACACTGAAACTGAAACTGTTTTATTTAATTAAACGCCTATTTCTATATACATATTCAATGGCGTTGTACAAAAGGATAATAAAAGTATGTACATATATATAAAAAATCACATATGCATGATAAATGAATTACAAAAAAAATAAGCAAAAGAAATCAGCCGTGTAAAATATAAAGTATTAAAACCTTAAAGAAAAGAATAGTAATAAATAATAATAATAATAATAATAAAAAAAAAAGAAAATAAAACTTAATGGTTATTTTCGTAAAATCTTCAACACATTTCCACATCTCGATAAGTTTACAGCCCAATCACAATCTTTGGTTTTGACATTTTTCTTGAACATGTCCAAAGTCGACGACTGTCTTAAATATAGAGGCAATTTATTCCAGAGAGTTGGACCAACGGTACTAAAACTTCTGTCGTTAAATGTTTTCCTTTTGTTAAAGGGGACAGCAAAACAATAATCCATATTATCAACAGATCTGAGATTTCGTCTTTTTATGACAGGTTTGTGTAACAAGTCTGTTAGATAAACCGGAGCATTGCCCATAAAACAGTTATACATTGTACATAGTATTTTAAAATTGATTCTAGCTTTAATTGGTAACCAATGCAGTTCAAACAAAGAGTCTTTGGAACTATCATATTTTCCGCGTTGCAAAACAAGTTTAGCGCACATATTCTGGATACGCTGTAATTTCTGTAACTCACTTTCTGAAATGCCAAACAATATAGCGTTGCAATAATCCAAATGTGAGATTACAAGCGACAATACTAGGATTTTTGTAGCGTCCTGAGTCAGATATTTGCGAATGCTCTTTATTCTCAAATAATTCAACATAGCAGTTCTACACTTGGTCTTAACATGTGTTGAGAATCTTAGGCCCTCGTCTAAGTAGGCACCTAAGTATCTTATGACACTGACATTTTGAATTTTATCACCGGCGATATCAATTTCTTTAATTGAACATTTACCAAGTTGGGCTTTACTACCAAACATAATGAATTCTGTCTTAGTGGTGTTCATTTTGAGTTTATTGGCATTCATCCAGTCATTGATGATTACAGCACTGTCTTCAAGTTGCTTTAGAGCGTTAAGTTCATTGGTCACTGAAGTTGGTCGAAAGCGTTGACTAGCAATGTGGTCATCAGCAAAGCCGTACACAGATATGGTTGTTGGTATCACATCAAATAGGGTTCCCGCATATGTGAGATAGAGCCACGGACCAAGACAGCTCCCCTGACGTACACTGCATTCCAGCAATCGTGGTGTCGATTCAGTAGAATTAACACTGACGCGACAACTACGATGTCGCAGGTACGAGTCCACCCTTGCTAACACGGTACCATTGACACCATACTGACTGTGTAACACGTCGAGTAGAATGTTGTGGTCAAGGGTGTCGAAAGCTGCACTTAGATCTATTTGCAATTAGAGCTGTCACCTCTTGCTTCTCCATACCGTCTAGAAGATCATTGACAAGTCTGAGTAAAGCAGTCTCACATGAATGATGACGTCTGTATGCTGATTGATTTTTGGGTAACAAATTATGGGTATCGACATGGTTATTTAAATTAGTCTGAAGAGCGCAGCCTTTTCTATCAATTTTGAAAGAAACGATAAGTTACTGACAGGCCTGTAGTTTGATCATTGTAATTCACACATTTGCCTTCTTTTCTTTATTTACAAAGGAGTATCTCAGATATTGCTAAAATACTCAGTAAAGGTATTTTTAATGATTTAACAAGTGGCATTAAATATTTTAAAAAAATGAAAACAAAGATCATCGAGGAAGGGGCATAAGTCACATAAAGACGTTTACAAAATACTTGTTTTGGTTGTATATCGTTTTGTTTATTTATATATTTTTATTTTGTTTTGGTTTTGTTTGTTATTGTAGCAACCACAACATTAACTTTACAATTAAAATTATTTTCATTTTGCTTAATTTATGTAATTTATGAAATTATATCCATGCATGAAGTTTCTTATGAATATATATTTTATAAACAATAAATACAGAGTTTGTTTTGATGGCCTTAAAGTGCAGTCTGAGTGTCTGTAAACCAAAAACAGTGAAAACGGGAGAAAAGTAAACAGCAAAAACGGAAATTAACGATCATTTTGAAAACGGAATGAGCGAATAATCAGAAATCTTGCATACAAATTATTAGGTCAGACCTTCATGAAATGGTACGCAGAACTTGAATATAAACTTCCAGTTCCGCAATGCCCGTAAAAACTAACTGGAGTTCCCGTGAATGACAAATTATTATCTCAATTCTGTTTTGTTTTTGTTTTCAATCCTGGAAATCGCTTTTCAAAAATTACTTAAAGATCCTGTAACACAATTTTCACGGGGGGGGGGGGGAATCACGTGACTTTGTATAGTAATACCCACGAGAAAATGGCGACTGCTGAGCCCCGGTAAGTACCTTATTATATTAAATTAAGGTGACAAGCGTTTCTTAAATCAAAACAAAACCTGGCGTATCATATGCGCGGTAATTTTCTTCAAATGACAATACAAAGTGCATTATCCTACGTTTTGTGGTTTTTGAGAACATTGTTTGAATTGTGTGAAAATTGCACATTCAGTGATAGTAATTTGCACGAAGCGATATAACTTGGTACCAAAATAAATGAAAATAAGCCTTCTTTTTGCACTTAAGACACCAAATCAATCATTTTATTGACATCTGTTCTTGTAGAATTCCATATAAAATTTTGTTCGAAGGTCTGTAGCTTACAAATGCTCTTTGCAAGTGTTTAGTAAGTAAAACGAACAATTTCTGGATAGTAAGTTACACGAAAACAAAATAGTAAGTTTCACGCACAGTTTCCAATAGCTTACTTAAATGTGACGAAACTATTTTATAATTCTTTTGGTTTCAAATTTGCAAGTGTGTTCCGTCTACGGTGACAGAGAAACAAATATCGAGAGAGTATTTTAATAATAATTCATATTATTTCATAATACATGTATTCATATTCATATAATTTCATAAAAGATTACTTAACTTAAAATAACTAAATGAGACATTGACACTGATACTCAACAATGTACGTTACACTTGGCCCTTTTTCACGTAATACTGGACCCACATCCGTTATCTTTAGAACTAGATTTATAAAGAAATAACTGTGCAGAAGGAAATATTACAACACCATCATTTATTTTTCAGTATTTGCAATTTGGACCAAAAACGCAAAGGAGAAGACATTCGCCATTTCACATTGATATTTAATGCCATCATAGAACTGGTATACAAAGTTTTTATTAAATTTATTCTTTTATACACTGGCAGATTTTATAAATAAACCCAAGAAGTTTTGTTAAAATGTTATGTATTACTATACGTTTATTTTCTTACCATGTGCAAATGTGTTGCGTCGTAAACTCTTACTTTTTGTTTGTGATAGAGTAAATAAGATATTCAGTGCGTCCATGGCCGAGTGTTTAAAGTCCCTGATTTTTATACACATGCTTCTCACCGCTATGGATTCTAGTCCGACCAGAGTCCTTGAATTCTTTCATCAAACTAGCTAACAAAACGTCGGTGCTTTAACTCAGGTGTCCCGACATTGACGGTGTGATTTGAAACCCAGCATCTAAGATTGTTTTATGTAAATATTTTTTTACTCCACTTGCCTTCATATCTTTGACCGTTTGATTTCAAATATTCGTTTTTCTTTGGAGGTCCATTATGCCTCTTAAATGCTATCATTTTTATTTTAAAAAAAAACTGTTTATTTTTGGTATCTTGTTACAGTTTCCGAAAACATACTCATTTGCTAGATACTCAAACTATCTTTTACATCTTTGGTTCTGTTGGAAAATGGTATACCTTTAGTGAATAAGTATTTCGTATGGAAGTCAAAATACTACTTTGTTTACATTTTGCTACCTTAGCGACACATCACTTAATATAATGTTCAGTGCTACCTTTTTCAGTTGCAATAAAATACTATCATACGTTTTATCCATTATTTAAACATTATCAAACACATGTTTGACATTTCTAAAGAAATAAAACAATATGGATTTCTGAGGAACAATGTGCCTTTAATCATAACTTGTATCACTGTATCATTGTTGTTTGTTGTTGTTGTTTTTTGTTGTTGTTTTTTTGTAAGAAGTTATTTTGTTCTTGCGAATTCTTCAACATATTTTCATAAATTAAGTAACATAGTGACTAAATGTAACAAATACCGCCATATAAAAACATCGATCAGCATTCAGTTAATAAACATCACCATACCAATTAACAAGCAATTATAATTGTTCATTACAGAAAAATGAGGGCCAAGACACACCTGAAACTGCAGAGGTCAAAGAACTACTATCGCCACAGAAAAATAACACTGAGCCGTGTAATATCAAATCCCACCAAAAGTTCATTTGAAATATTATAATAACAACCAATTAAGCATTCGTCCTATAGATAAAAAAGTGAATTATTTGATCTTGAATAATTGAAATAAGTATTTCTATCTCTTAACATATGAACTTTAACTTTCTTTTAATGTATATGTATGCTAATGGAAACTGTGCGTGAAACTCACTTTTTTGTTTTCGTGTAACTTACTATCCAGAAATTGTTCGTTTTACTTACTATACATTTGCAAAGAACATTTGTAGGCTACAGACCTTTGAAAATATATTTTATATGAACTTCTACGATAACAGATGTCAATAAAATGATTGATTTGGTGTCTTAAGTGCAGAAAGTAAGTTTATTTTCCTTTTTTTTGGTACCAAATTAAATCGCTTCGTGCGAATTACTATCGCTGAATGTGCAATTTTCACACAATTCAAACAATGTTCTCAAAAACCACAAAACGTAGGATAATGCACTTTGTATTATCATTTGAAGAAAATTAACGCGCATATGATACACTAGGTTTTGTTTTGATTTAAGAAACGTTTGTCACCTTAATTTAACATAATAAGGTACTTACCGGGGCTCACCAGTCGCCATTTTCTCGTGGGTATTACTATACAAAGTCACGTGATTCCCCCCCGTGATTTTTGTATGGTTTTATATCATAAAAATAATGCTCAACTGAAGATTTATCAATAGCGTAAGTTCCAAAAAGCATTATTTGTAAAGATATTACCCAATTTACATTACATGTTAATAAAGGGGGCAATTAGAAATTTATTTTCTATAAAGTCTAAATCAAGTTTTTCAATAAGAAATGAATGCATGTAGTTTAATGATTACATCAGTACGTATTATGTGAACAATTATTTGCAGTACAAATTTTACATATTCTTCAAAGGAAACATAACTTTATACATATATAAAATTTCACTTCAATATGGTAACAAACCTTAATTACAACATACAGGATCTTCAAGGATCCCAGAATGTATATTTTCAATTTTACATGTTGCTTTATGACAACTATACATCTTAACAAAGTAAAAAAGTCTGCAAGGGTATCCATCAAAGTATCTTGAAGTTATTTCAAATTCCGTTTGTGTCAAGCGTTTGACTGTAACATATAGTGCATTGTTTTTACTGACTACATTCACTCCCTCAAGAAGAAAACAATATAATGTTATTACATTTTTTCCAACCTCTTCTTATATTTCATAATACCGTTCTTATATATATGAAGGCAAATCTAAAATAGGAAAAAAACGTGTTTTTAAGATTGAAAAGACGCACTGCTTAATACAATGTAAAAGCTAGACTCCTTCTCACCTTGGTACATCCATTTTCTAACAAATATTTTGCTGCTCCTTGGATATCCTTGACAGCTCCTGGCCAATCAAGTTCACCCATCAAGTGCCCAGCTTGCTCCGTGTCAGTTGCTATCTTGCCCCTATAAAGGTCGGGAACCAAAGTAACAAACTTTCCCATCTCACCAATTTCTTCTGCTTCCTGTTTGATCTGATCATTCATTCCCCACCATTCCTTGCAATAAATTAACGGAACTCAATCAAATGTTATTGTGTAAGTATAAGTGTAAAAGTACATAATTAGAATACGTTTTAGATCTATCCCGTTTTAGAAAAAGAAAAAGTGGACAATGCCAACGGTCTCCTCTTCCATAATACCATTACGTCATGGCCAAATTGCTTGTACATGTATGTGGCTTTCATGGAATTAACTACAATTATCGGTCTTGTAATACCGTTACATATTAAAATCAAGTCTCAAATCTCGCCAAATACAAAGTTCCATATATAGATATTCTTATAATAACCCAATTAAACAAAAAAAATAAAACACCATTAAAATTAATGTAATAATAACATCAGTGTTTTTAATAATTTTTATAATTATTTTACAATGGAAGTCCTGAAACATTAAGTTTGTTAAAAAGGAACACATCCCTGTTGAAGAGACAAAACAAAAATACCTAAGCATTTGAAAAGTGAATATCAAATATTTTATACAATTTTAGAAGAAAACATACATTATATTTTGATACTTTAAGTTCAAAATACTAGTATACAAATATACGATCCGATAGTAAGAATTAAAGTCCATATTGTCCGTAATGACGTTGCCGGCATAATGTCCTCGTATGCCTAGCAAAGTGGTCTCAATTAACTATATGTTAAGATCAAGATCTTATAATGACAATAGTTCATTGAATTGCACTGTACGTGCAGGGCCGGCAAAATCTGATTTTGACTTACTTGTCCGTTTTTATATGAAGCATTTTTTAACTTGTTTGTATGATATTAACATACTTAATTCTTGTCTGTACAGGCTATGGGACAACCACGGCAATACGGACAATTGACTTTGCCGGCCCTGGCGGTGTACATAACGAAATTCTTAATATATACAGATAGTCTGTTGCCACATCAGCTTAAAGTGTAGCATTTATTAATCGTACTATTTGTTGGCCTAAATAGAGTACATAAGAGGCGCTTTCTAAGTGTTGCTTTCATCTGTTTTACTGAGATGCACTATAGTCATAATAATTATCAATTGTTCGTTATCACTTTGTGATTTCTCTTATAGCAAAATTGACTGAATTATTTCTTGTTATATATTCATGTGGTCGATATGTTTTTACAATTTTCATGACTAACTACCAGCATCTATAAATGGTTATTCGAACGGTTCTTTATTTTCCTAATGGTGTTCTAGAAAGTTATATACAATCATATAGTTTCTAAATCTTTAATCTTTTTACATTCATCTTGATGATTATTACATGATAAACCATTTTTCTCCTTGACACACTACTGTTTAAAAATGTTAATTAATCATGTATAAGATTCTTATAAATGATAACTACTTGTGAACAGACCTTCTTCAGTGGCATGTATTACACATAAATAAATAAATCAAAACAAAGGAAGTTGCGTAGCGCTGCTTTCCGGCTGTTGCATTATTCCTTATAGTTTCCACAGTAAAGTCGCTGTGTTCTGAGCTTATTTTTATACATAATTTTATATTCGATTGCTTTTCTGTATTGGTCATTCCCCTTCTACTTTGCAAACCCAATAATCGAAAAATCACCGTAAATGACGCTTTGCTCAATATCATACTAGACTTAAACTCTGCGAGTCGGATGTGTCGACTTGTGAACAATATACTTTAGGAGAAATGACCAGGACAAGAAAATTAACAAAGGGCAATAACTAAACAAGAGGGCCATGATGGCCCTAGATCGCTCACCTGAATTATCAAACTCATCCAAACAATTACCTAGACAAGCATTCTGACCAAGTCTCATGACAGGTGAGTCAAAAATGTGACCACTACAGTGTTAACAAGGATTATCCATATTTGAGCAGTGCGACCTAGTTTTTTACCCAGGTGACACATATTCAAACTTGACCTAGAAATCATCAAAACAAACTTTCAGACCAATTTCCAGGATACTTGGATCAAAATAGTAGCAACTAGAGTGTTAACAAGATTTTTCTATTTTTAGCTCCGGTGACATAGTTTCACATGCGATTTCGAACTCATCCAAGCAATTACCTAGACAAACATCCTGACCAAGTTTGATGATAATTGAGTCGAAAATGTGACCACTAGAATGTTAACAAGGTTTTCCATATTTGGGCGGTGTGACCTAGTTTTTCATCCAAGATGACCCATGTTCGATCTTGACTTAGAAATCATCAAAACAAACTTTCAGACCAATTAACAGAATATTTGGATCACAACAGTAGCCACTAGAGTGTAAACAAGATTTTTTCTATTTTTAGCTCCTGTGACCTAGTTTTTCATCCGAAATGTCCCATGTTCGATTTATTCCCAGCAATGACCTAGACAAGTTTCCTGACCAAGTTTTGATGACAATTGAGTCAAAATTGTGACCACTAGAGTGTTAACAAGGTTTTTCTATTTTTAGCTCCTGTGACCTAGTTTTTCATCCGAGATGACCCATGTTCGAACTCATCCGAGCTATCACCTAGACAAGCATCTTGATCAAGTTTGATGATGATTGATGCAAAAAATGTGACCGCTAAAGTGTTAACAAGGTTTTTCTATTTTTTAGCTCTGGTGACCTACTTTTTCATCCGAGATGACCCATGTTCGAACTCATCCAAGCTATCAACTAGATAAGCATCCTGACCAAGTTTGATGATGATTGATGCAAAAATGTGACCACTAGAGTGTTCACAAGTTTTTTCTATTTATAGCTCCGGGGACTAGTTTTTCATCCGAGATGACCCATATTCGAACTCATCCGAGCTATTATCTAAACAAGCATCCTGACAAAGTTTGATGATGATTGGGTCAAAAATGTGACCACTAGAGTGTTCACAAGGTTTTTCTATTTTTAGCTCCTGTGACCTAGTTTTTCATCAGAGATGACCCATGTTCGAACTCATCCAAGCAATTGACTAGACAAGCATTCTGACCAAGTTTGATGATGATTGGTTCAAAAATGTGACCACTAGAGTGTTCACAAGGTTTTTCTATTTATAGCTCCTGTGACCTACTTTTTCATCCGAGATGACCCATGTTCGAACTCATCCAAGCTATCACCTAGACAAACATCCTGACCAAGTTTGATGATGATTGGGTCAAAAATGTGACCTCTAGAGTGTTCACAAGGTTTTTCTATTTTTAGCTCTTGTGACCTAGTTTTTCATCCGAGATGACCCATGTTCGAACTCATCCGAGCTTTCAACTAGATAAGCATCCTGACCAAGTTTGATGATGATTGAGGCAAAAATGCGACCGCTAGAGTGTTCACAAGTAATTGTGGACGGCCGGACGGACGACGGACGACGGACATTCACCGATCCTAAAAGCTCACCCTGAGCAAGCTCAGGTGAGCTAAAAATAAGAAGTGCAGAGCAGCAGTTTCTTTGCACTGCACTTCTTATCAATAAGATATATTATCCTATGAAGTTTCAAGTCCATAGCTTTTATTATTTATGAGAAATGGCCAAGGCAAAAATAAAGTATGAAAATTAATAAAGGGTAATAACTCAAAAATAAGAAATGCAGAGTACCGGTTCTTGTACACTGCATTTCTTTTAATGAGATCTATCATCCTATGAAGTTTCAAGTCCATAGCTCTTATATATACTTTCGGAAAAATGGCCCGGACAAAAATGAAGTATTAAAATTAACAAAGGGCAATAACTCATAAAATAAGAAATGCAGAATACCGGTTCTTGCGCACTGCACTTCTTCTTAATGAGATCTATCATCCTAAGAAGTTTCAAGTACATGGCTTTTATACATTAGAAGAAATGGCCCGGACAAAAATAAAGTATTTAAATTAACAAAGGGCAATAACTCAAAAAATAAGCAATGCAAAGTACCGGTTCTTGCGCACTGCACTTCTTCTTAATTAGATTTATCACCCTATGAAATTTCAAGTCCATAGCTTTTATACTTGGAGAGAAATTGCCCGGACAAAATTAAAGTATGAAAATTAACAAAGGACAATAACTCAAAAATTAAGAAGTGCAGAGCACCGATTCTTGAACACTGCACTTTGGGTTATTGAAAGAAGCATGCATACCAAGTTTGAAGTCAATCAGACTTATAGTGACTGAGTTATGCTCCGGACAAGATTTAGGAAACGCCGACGCCGACACCGACAACGACGCCGACAACGACGTTGCCGACAAAAGTAATCCCTATATGTCGCCTTTTCAAAGCGACACAAAAATTAGCTAAACAATTACATGTACTTCAAATAATATAAAAACAAATGAGAAACAGACATTTTGTTTTATTGCCAAAATGCGTAACTGTTTTACATTTATCTTTTATGTTATGAATTACTTCGCACTTATATACCTGAATTGTGAATGTCGATCGTTCTATATTAAAAGGCAGAAACAAATATTCTACTAAAATTAATATTCATTTATAAACTAAGTAAAGTTATCGCAAATAAACGAACGCATGATATATATTCTAAATAAATCACAATTTGCCACTTTGTATCACGCAATGTGACGAGTGAGAGCGAGCATAACGTTCTAATTAGAGCTACCCATAATAAAATGTAACGTATTATAAGAAAACGGTTTGATAAAAACGTTTCATTAATGGCTCATTCCCAATTAAGTACGACATTTGATGTCGCTACTGTCTGGCTGGATATATTTGGACACTGTAATGATCTATCATAAAATTCTATGTATTTTTTTACAAGGATGACCATAACAGTAAATTATTCATAAAGGTTTAATGACACATCGAACTGTGTTATATGATGAAAGGCTCTTTATCTTGTTTGGGGTTTAAAAATCACAATGTCGTCATCACTATGCATCGTTATTTAACATTGAAAGTAACATACATATTTGGTTTAATTCATGTAAAAATGTTTAGTTTCAATAGGCATATGTGCCATCTTACAAAAATTTAACATTTTCCCTTACTACCCATGGAATGTAAAAATCGTACTATTGTATAATCTATGTCGCCAAAATTAATAAACGTACGGTACAATATTTCTTGGTGTGTCT